ACTTACAATATACTATATATAGTATATAGCTATATACTATATACAGAGTAGACTGTGCTTTAATGTAACGCAGGAGGATTGGAGATGCTAAGTTGCTGTAGCTTGTAGGTCCTGAACCGAATAAATAACGGACTAAAAGGTACCTGTGTCTAAGTATCTATAAATATAAATATCAGTGTATTGTGGTTCTCTTGTGTTTTAGACAATAGTAAAGCATTCAATAAATATATGTTTTAGCTCATTCTTGGAAAATAAAAAAACGGATTAAAAGCGCTCGGGTCACGTAACTGTAGGTCCATCAGCCAACACCCTTAAAGCGTCCCCACCAACTTTCATCACTAAGTTACTCCCTTGCACTGAAGCATACTGTATTTTTGAAAATTTAAAAAAATCTGCTACAGCTTACACACATAAACCCCCAGATGTAAACCACTGCAGCAAAATCAATGCAACTATGATGATATAACCACCAATATTTATGCTAATAATCGTCTATCTACTTACATGCCCTCATAGAGCAAATGCTGAGATAATATTTTAGGGAACAAAAGCATTAAATAAATAAAGGTACAGAAAGGTACCATACTCATTCATCGTGCACAGACCTCTATCCCAAGGAAATTATTTGGCTTTTTGACCCGTTTTACCAATATAGCTCTGGGAATCGATGTACCAGGACTAGCTGATAGCGGAACAGCTTTGTTTTCATAAGACAAACATTATGACTGTTAGCGTAAGGTTCCGCTTGATACCTGTATATTAAACTTTACGGAAAATTATTTAGGGAGTAAAATTATATGCAATAAATATACAACAGAGACAGAAAGGGAGGTGAGAAAGAAGAAGGGGATAAGAGGTAAGGGGAGAGAGAAAAAGAGAGACAGGGAAAAGAGCATGAAAAGAGAGAAATTAAAACAAGACAACAAAAATAGACAACAGAAGATATACAGTAATTCCTAGAAGTCTGCTTCCACACCTGTATAAGGCAATGGAATAGAAAACAAGAGAACATAGCAACAGCAAAAAGAAGACAACAGAAAACCAAAGTAGACAAACAAAAAGCTTCCAGAGCAACGGGTATCCCTTAGATATTCGTGTGTGGAAGACAAAAACCAATGTGATTACACAGTATTATCCTGGGTGATATATATCTGTAGCTGCAGCTTAGTATTTAGTATTAGAGCGCAGCCATGAACACCAAGAACACTGTGGTATGTATACATGAGCATGCTCATGTATAAAGGATTCACAAAGCCTCTTTAGAAGGAGATATGCTTATTAGCAGGAGTGAGTGGCCCCAGACTAGCCCTACATGGCCCTGGACAGAAAAAGAGGTGATGTCAGCCCAAGATATCTACTGTAGAGCAGGGGTCACCAACCTTTTTAAGGCTGAGGGCTACTTCATGGCTACCGAGTCATAGGAAGGGCTACCAATACTGACCTATGAACTGGAGGGATCAGTGTTCACCTACAGAAAATCTCATCCATAAAAACTCATTTTTATTCTTATTTTATTCTTTTTTCATTTCTAATTTTCTTTTCAATATTGTCATTTTGAAACCACTGAAATATGATGAAATAGTTAACATGATGCAATAATACATAAATGATTAAAAAGAAGAGCAACAGATTAAAAAAAATTTAAACTTAACCCACTGAGTGAGTTCTTCTGTTTTCAGAAGATGGAGAGGGCAACCCATGTGGTCCTTGAGGGCCCCTTGGTGCCCGCGGGAACCGCGTTGGTGACCCCTGATCTAGAGGCACCCCAGATCACTGGGACACCAGGAGGGCAGATATAAGGATGGCTAAGACAATAATGTACAGTCCCTGAGGGGCCCGACCCAGAAGGCCATAGTGCCGATGTCGTGGCAGCACCACACGGAACTCCATCAGTGGTCGGTCACGTCAAAGTTGGATCCGGATGAGAGCTCTGGGGTCTCGGATCCCAGTAACCCCCCAGTCGGGACTCAACAGGACCAGGAGGCCCCGGCCCGGCCAAGCAGCACCAAAAATGAGAAATCGCACACTGACATACCCAACCCGTACCTAGAGAACCATAAGCGCTCCTACAGACACGGAACCTGTCACTGACAGGGAGCATAAGAAGGGGGAAGAGGCAGGCCCTGCTCATAGTTGGGGCCTAGGATGTTCAGTAGGTGGGGGGAGGCAAACACTCCAAGGAAAGATAAGACAAGGGGAGCAAATCAAAATGAAACATACTTCTAATACACTAACTTGTATTCAAAGTATCTGAAAAACCCGTAAAAACATTGTAAAATTCTCTCTAAATTCATTTAAATGTAATTTCCTAGTGTTTAGGATTTTTCTCCATACCAACAGGAAATAACTTTGCCATTAACTTTTGTGAACCACTTGTAAGAAAGCAGATCTGCTTCTAAGAGACTTTTTTTTTGCTGACAAAAACATATCAGCGACAGTCAGCTGCATCAAAGGCAAAATGCCATCACCAGAACGCATGTGCTGATTGTATCTCCTTCAAAATATTTTAGTGCTGTAGGCTGATAGAGTTTTCTGAAAGAGTCCCTCATGCTCTGTCAGTTTTTCATTATCATTTCACTCAGTGTTATATAGGTCCATGCAATATTGGTAATTACAGAGGTTGTGACAGTGTTTTAAGATTTATAATCACCTCTTTTTCTTTTACACCCGGGGGACCTACCGGTAATATCACCGCCTCTCACATACACACTTAATTACTAAAATTTTATGGGCCATTATCTGTTGTCCAAGTCTGAACAACTGGACGTATAGTAGCTCTAAAGCAATAGTTATCCTCTAGTGAGACATTTCCCAACATTGAATGTATCCAAAGGTTGATATTTTCACACAGATATGACAGTAGATGAGGTCAGGAAGTAGTCCCACGGTCAAAGCTTCCTATTAAGTATGTCACATAAATATCTAAACAGTTTCTATGCTAAATCACAAAAAGATCTTTGGGGAACAGAAGGAAAAATGTTTTATTTTCCAGTTAATTTCTAGTCATGCTCAGTTTCTTTGAGAACCCTGCGCTGCACGTGACTGAAATGCCAAGCAAACCCTGAAGACATGCTGACAAGCTAATTATCAAGCAGCCCTGTCACAAGTGGGCAGAAAATGTAAAAATAAGGTTCACACCACCGTCATTATGTAAACAATCACAGTTCTTGGTGCTAACCTCACACCCCAGCAGACTACAGCTGGCGGACTTTAACGCAAGAGGGTCGCACTCTCAGTGAGAGACAACAAGGGTGAGGCTTCTGAAAGCCATTTGAGAATCAGAGCTTCTTGTATTTGGCATTTCATCTAACCCTAACTTAATTAACATGGCATAAAAAATGTGATGCAGAACACAGCTTTGTTATTTTTGTAACCATCACTGCCAAAATCGCTCTTCCAGCACATCACACTATTAGCAATTGTCTGTTCCGTTGTGAATCAACACACAGAAACTGTTGATAACAAAAGCCTTGGTTTATGGTTGAGTGAAAAGATGTCACCCATAAAATGAAAACAACAGTGTGCTAAAAGCTGAAGAGACATGGAGAGGAGGACCAGCAGCTTCATGCGCACAGTTACACACACAATACTCATTCTGTTTTATGCATGCGCAGCACTGGGATCTAATTAATAGAGATCATTCAAAACGGACTACAGACACGGGGGGAAATCCATGGAATTACCACCAGCCTATGTCAGACAGCACTGCCTTGAAAAAGTCCAAGCCAGCATTTCTCTAGTAAGCACAATTACTATCAGTAGAATTTCCAGCAACATGGCTACTGGATCAAAATCCCAACACATGGAATTAGACAAGGGTGTAACTTTGAGTCTAAGCTTTATTTCTATTTATGTAATCTTCTTTCATGAGGTCCCTATCTAGAAATAATAACCAACTCATTGCTTTCAGTCATTTACTTTCCAGGACACTCTCCTCCTTATAGAGGTATGGACATAGTATACAGTCGCTTGCATTTCCATCACACCGAGCATGCATGCAGCAACAGTGGAAAGGAAAAACTCCCTTTGAACAGGAAGAAACCTCCAGGAAAACCAGGCTCAGTGTGAGCATCCTTCTGTTGAGCCCGAACGGGGTTCAAGGAGACAGAAGCACACACACAAAACGAACAACGAAAGCACTAATCCATTAATATGTCCGATTTCAGAAAAGAATGCATTGGACTTTGTTCAAGGTTTGGAGATTTCGATTCCCTACTGATGAACTAGCGCGATGCAGTTTGGCCTGTCGCGGTTGGGTTCAGTTGTGCGTGCCATCTACACTCATCAGTTATCTTGGTTACTGTCCTCGGACCGATCTCAGCATGGTTTCAAAAGGGTAGTGGAAATATGGCTTAGGTCACAAAACTCAAACCAACTCACAATGGCATCTTCATTTTCAGAAAGAACTCCAATGTTCTGCATAATCACCTAATCTTATTCCAAAGTAGTTCTATAATATAAGGGATGAATGGCTATAGCACATATGTAGAGCCAACATATTCATGGTAACTGTAAGATGAGATCACACCAATATGAGCAAAAATCTGAGGAATATTTGACACATGTTCAGTTTATGCATAGATCAATGAAGCAAGTTAGATGGAAAATGGCACTAAGTTTGCTTATAGGTATATGGTATCGATTTAAACTGACATAAACTGGTGCTAGTAGTTTCTCTGCAATAATCTATGGATTTCAAAAACCAAGTAAAAAGAGCAAACATGGTCAAAATACCAAGAATTGTTCCCCTTTGGTGGAAGTTACCAGGTAAAATTAGAAGACATAAACAGAAGAGGGCACAGCTTATTTCAAAATTAGCCCAATAACTTAAGGCCTTATTTTCATGGTTCACCACTTTATAGTCCAATGATAGGAGAATGAAACAAATGCCCCAAAAAGCTGCAGGCAAATGCCTCCAGGGGAGTCTGCAATTGCCCTTAATTGCTCATGCCATGCCATTGTCTTCAGGCCTTTGTCTCACTTTGACACAGCACACTCACCAGTAACTTTTGATGGAGCTTTTGGTGTTTTAGTGATCCTTGGTTCAGTTGGACAGGCCTGCTGTTGTCTTCTAGTGGGTGAATGTAGTCCACAGAGTAAGGGGGCAGAATATCGTTTTTCAGCTGAAAACAAAACAACAACATAAAGAAGTCAATTACAGTACTGTTCATTTGTTCCATTTTCAAAATCCCAAAACAGTTTTTTTGGTAGCTAAATATTTAAATTACTGCCATTTCTGCTAATGTAGTTTCACTATAACTTGATCCAGCCTGCTTAAAGGTAACATCACAAATTTGCTTTGCTCATGTGAAAGACAAATTCAGCAGTTTTAAAACTTTGAAATGAAAAACAAACAGAGACAATTATAGCAAAGTAAACAAAGCAGAGCTAATCATCACTCTTATCTAGGATGATGGCCCAAAAGCCCAAAGTTAATAACATCTTTGTACCTCTATTATTCTATAAAAAAATAAAAAATAAAAATGTCCTGGGATCTAGGGTCTTTTCGCTTCCTCCCACAGTTCAAAAACATGACTGTTTTAACTGTGTGACTGTCTTACCTATCCAGGGTGATTACTAACTCGTAATTGCAGTCCGGTATTTGGGTATTGAAATCTTAGTAAGTCAATTCTTCTTGAAATAAGTTTTGAATTGAGCAGGTAACTAAGAAACTTTGCCAATGGAACAAGAAAATGTACATTCATAATAAGGAAAAAAAAACTGCAGTTTCTAATTTTGAGTGCATACAATCTAATTATCTTATTTTAGGGTAAAAATACTTACAGTAGGGAAACATTTGGATTTAAACACCCTGCTATTTTTCAAGTTCTCCCACTAAGAAATCATGTAGGGGTCTGAAATTGTCACCATAGGTGCATGACTACTTTGAGACACATAATATTTAAAAAAAAAATCCAGAAGTCATAATATATGATTTATTTGTATATTACAGCTGCAAATAAGAATTTGAACACCTGTCTATCAGCTAGAATTCTGACCCTCAAAGACCTGTTATTCTGCCATCAAAATGTCCACCTCCACTCCATTTATTATCTTAAATTAGACGCATGGTTTGAGGTAGTTAGCTGCATAAAGACACCTGTCCACCCCATACAATTAGCAAGAATCCAACTACTAACATGGCCAAGACCAAAGAGCTGGGGTGTTTTTCTGCACATGGAACAAGGTGACTGCACTGTATTAAAGAGAGGATGACCGGGGGTATGTTTTGTGAGATTTTGGGGAACAAAATCAGTTAGAGCATTGAAGATGGGTTGAGGCTGGGTCTTCCAACATGACAATGACCCAAAGCACACAGCCAGGGTAACCACGGAGTGGCTCTGGAAGAAACATATCAAGGTTCTGGCATGGCCTAGCCAGTTTCCGGACCTAAAACCAATAGAGAATCATTGGAGGGAGGTCAAACTTTGTATTTCTTAGTGACAAGCCCAGAAATCTAACTGATCTAGAGAAGATCTGTGTGGGGGAGTGGGCCAAAATGCCTTGTGCAAACATGCTGGAAAACTACAGGAAACCTTTGACCTGCACTTTTTTCTGAAAATAAGTACATTTTGTCTTGCATCGAGGAGGTAATGGAGATACTTTGCCAATGGAAAGAGACAATTTACATTTAGAAAAAGCAACTGAATCGTCTTATTCAAAGTTTATATTAAGAGTAAAAATACTCATTCAATAGGCAAATCCTCTTATTTACCTACTAACATTAAGGGTAAATACACTTGATTTAAAACATTTTTATTCATTTCTTGGTCATTTTTCCAGTGTAATTGGGGGAACTTTCAAAATAGCAGTGTTCAAATACTTATTTTCCTCACTGTATTCCATTCTCAGATCATCTTATTTACCTGCTGAAATCAAATGTAAATATACTTATTTTAAGATATTTGCGATATGTGCAGTTTTGTACTGTGTAGGTTCAAAAAGGATTTTTTATGGAAAAACTTAGTGTGCACATAAATTATTTTAAAGAAAAATATATTAACTTGTATTTAAAGTAAATCAAGAATTGGGTAGAAAAGTATTTATACTTCTCTTACTAATTGTCATAAAATATTTTTCTGGCAACACAACTGTATTCTTCTTATATGCCATAGATGTTCAACATCTATGGCATGTTTCCTCTCAGAGTTTTACTAATTATTTTTAGTTATGAGCTCCAAGGTTTGATGTCTTTTTTGCCAATGTAAAATTCTAAATTGGGAAAATTTACTGTCATTCAAAAGAAAATATAGAGTAGAATAAAATATAATATAATAGAAAATCACTTTATTGTCCCAAAATGTGGAAAATCTGGGTATATATGGTTGAACCTAAAAAAAGTAACATTAAACTTAAATCTGCCAGCAGTTTGGATAATATTGGTATAAAGAGATTGACACACAGACAGATAAATATGCACAAAAACAGAGAACAACAACTCAAAGATACACTATCAGTAAACAAAATACATTTTTCCTTTAATAGATGGGTCACAGTTTCAGATTGACAGAAGTGGGATAGATGATCAAAAAGGCATTGCTAACGTACATAATTGTAGAGTCGTAACTGAGTGGGATTAGAATAACCAGATTGTGGGGCCCTTCTTGATTGCATTAGCTCTCCACGGAGCTTAGAACTGCTATGTTTACCCAGCATGCACTGCAAAGTATCGCACATAAAAATAACACTGAAGCACTACTTCAAGCAGATACTCAGAAACCCACAAACGATATGAAAAAGGTAAAAATAACATCTTCACTCAATGTTTAACCACTTAGCAATGGAGGTTGATAGCACTACCTAAGTCGCTTGTTATTGCCCAGCTAGTGGTGCTGGCTGGAAATTATAATGCCCTCTATTCAATTATTCATGGTTCCAGTCAGGTGGAACAAGATGCTGCTTTTGTGTCATAGAGGGAGAACTGTAACTCGACTCAAGTCTAAAAGACCATCGCTGCTTGCAGGAAAGAACTTCATCAAGGAAGTTTGGATGCATCTAAACTACAAACAAACACCGGATGTCATGATATTCCCCTGGCTGCTTCCATGTGATGTTTTCCTGCAATGTTCAGACAGGGAACAGTGATTCAGGAGGGTGGGCAACAGAGTAACAAACCCCTGGGTGCATTTCACTGCCCCACTCTGCTGCATTTTGTTGGTACTCAACGTTATAATTTGCGACCATGGCCAAAAGATTGTGTTTTTTCATCTATGCCATGTTTTAATGCTGCATACTAAAGCTATGTTGCTTTTTTGCACTGCCACTCATGGGAACAAGTTGTGCTATTTTTAAACCACTTGTCCCCAGCTGCACATCTTCAACCAGGGGCCAGTGGGCAATTAGTGTTTGTTTCTCAGGGCATGGGGCATTGCTGGATTCTTTCTAACCCAGGAGGACATCTGGAAACAGAGTGTTTTTGTCCTGTACCTTTACCCCTGCCGCAAGGCACAGCTCTCAAAGCAGCGACTGCGCCTCCACCAGCATCACCTTTTAACTGCACACAAGACCATCTCTAATCCGCAGCTATTTATGTGCTGAAATATCATTTTGTTATTTATTTTTGAGATTTACTCTCATTAATACAGTAAAAAAAACATACTTTTAAAATGTAAATAAAATATTGGTATACATTTAGCAGTGCTGCTTTATGTGATTTACTTAAGTCGGCAAAATGTTTAAACGTTATTGAGTGCTTTTCTAATTAATACGGTTCAAAGGAACCAAAAGTAATTACCACTGGATAATAAGGTAAAAAAAAAAGAAGCAACAAAGAGCTTAATGGCTGTCCTAAAGGTTATAGCTACAACTTTCCACCAAAAATTTAAAAGGAAAAATATTTAGGGTATAAATATTGCTCTATAAATTTTCCACAATATATAAGTATAGTCTTCTACTTATAATGTCAACATTGACATTAAAGCATTCTACAACAAAAGGAGTAGCAGGTTTAAAGGCATAGTGGCAGATGTTCTATTTCTGGGTGGATCATCTAAATAAGTGGTCCATTCTAATTGTCAATCATTCTGGTGATATGGTTATAGGTCGTTCTACGTGATCGTCCCTATTTTCACCTAATGGCGAGAAATACCTACCTGCTGAGAATGATCTCCCCTCTTGCACACTGGTGAGAAAACAGATTGATATATGAATGTAAAGGGATCTTCAAACATATTCTCAATGTTTTTTTTATTTCTTATGAATTGATGCCCTAAAACTGAGAGTTTTGGTGGATATATAAATTTGAATGAATATGATTTTTACTTGTATGTAGACACGTTTTAGTCAATGTATATGTTCTCTGCTCAGTGGATAGCATTTTCCACTTTTTCTATGAACACCATTCTATATGATTTCCGACAAAACATTAAGGATACATTTAAAAGTTCCCTTTTTGTTCATATTTTAATTCATTTTCTCATCAATGTATAAGAGTTTAGGGTAATGCAGGGTAGTCCCGTGACGTCCCGCAGGTTTTCTTGGCATTTATCTGTCCACCAAAACTCTAAATCTTAGGGCATCCATGCATACGAAATATGAAAACATTAAGAATATGCTTAAAAGTTACCTTTTCGTTCATATTTCAACCTGTTTGCTCATCAGTGAGCAAGACGGGAGTTCATTCTCGGCAGGCAGGTATTTCTCTGAATAACACCGGTGGTTATTCTGACATAGTGGAAAAATTGCAAATCTTTTGGAAAGTAAGCTTGTATGAGCAATGCAAACAGCAACTTTTAAACAGAGCGTGCCCAAGGAGAAATGGGCTCCTGCATGCTCTGGCACACGTTTAAGAGGCTTTCCCTCTCGGGAACGGGTACAGGGTTGTGCATGTGCAATTATTTTAAAGGTGGAGAGGGCGGGTCTTGTCAAAAATTTGCAAACATCCTGCACTATACCTTTAAGTCACTTGATCTGAAGCCCAGTATTTGCCAGATTGCAGCAGCTCCACCATCACTCTGAGGAATGGCTTTCCTCTGGTTTTGAATTTGTGAGTTGAATGTTTGCTATTATTTAGCTTGGTTAACATTAACTTCAGCTGACCTAGCAACTGACCTAGCAACTGACTCAACAGAATGAGAGTGGGCAAGCAAGAGTGTGCCACTTAGTAGTTTTACTTTAAAACATG